CAGTTCACAGGAAGAACTGTACGTGGTGCACCTGGTCATTCACCTGTACAGAAAGGAGAGTGGCTGGAGAATTTGTACATGCTCAGCCTTGAGTAGCACGGCTGGTTGCTCAGGGCCAGAAAGAGGAAGCCGCCCTCGTACCTGCTGAGGCCTCTGCTGGCTCTGAGTTACTGCTCAGTATTCCCTACTCCCCTTGCCCCCACAGATGCCACTACATCTTCCAAATCAGGGAGTCTTATTTTAGAGCTCTGCGACCCCATTCTCTGCCACCTCCTTTATCAGTCTCAGTCAGCTGAATTCCAGACAGACTCTGAGCCAATGAGACATGTACAGCAAACTGTGGGAATAAAAAATTGCCATTGGCCACACCAGACAGAGCTCTTGGACAGACTGACACAGGACTGGCTTTTGAGTGGTTTGTTTCCAGAAGCTGGGTGAGTCTTGCTCCCTTTCCCAAATGTCTGTCATAGTAGAGAGATGAATGGGCTGGGCAGACTGTCCTCTGGGGACAGAGTAAGAGGTACCCTGAAATGACTCTAGTTTAAAGTAGAGCTACTGATGTGCTCCAGATTGACAGCAGAGGAAAGAAGGTGCACAGATGAGAAAAAACTAAGGGAACAAGTTTGTAGGGTTCCTTCAAAGGGACGCTCTGCCCACTGACACAGCAGATGGCAGGCTCCATCCTCACATTCTCAGCCCTGTGTATTCAGTCTGAAGCCTTTAGTTTTCAGGGGTTTGCAAGCAGCTTTTTCCCTTTGAAATCTCAGTGTCTTGTATGACTTTTCTCTGCCACGGGGTTGTGTGGTTTTGAGGATCGGAACTTGTGTTCCCTCCATTTTTTATGCTAACAGCTCTCAGGACAGGGGCTTTCTTGACTGATTTCCCCCATTTCTCCACACTACACTGGGAAATGCCCAGTTTATCATCATGCCGGGAACAGAGGGTAGTATCATTACAGAAGTATGAGTAGCTGGGTGTGGGTGCAGAGGACACTCGTTTCTGCCAGACCAAGCTTGGCTCAGCTCCTCGCTGCAGGGCCGGCTGCTGTGTGGCTGCCCCGTTGGAAGTCCTGGTCAGGAGGTGGGCAGGACTTTGTTTCCACTGTGAGAATGCAATGAGGGAGCTGCTGGTGGGCACGAAACCAGCTCTCTCTCAGCTCTGGCCAAGGGCTCCTTGTCATGCTCCATGTGTCTTGAGTAAGGAGATACATCAGTCAGCAGAGATGGTCCGCCTCCCAGGGCTGATGACGCACCAGAGTTTTATGCCCAAGCCTATAGTCTGAAGTGTCTCATATGTAAGTGGGGGGTTACAGACAGGATCCTTTCTGAGGCTCTCCCCTCCTTCCTGGGAGCCCCTGACCGAGTCCTGTCTGCCACGGAAGCCCTGCCTTTCCTCACAGTCCTCTCTTCCCCACCTGGTGAAGCGGGGACTGTGTGCTACCCCTTCTGCTGCTGCAGGAGGCCCCGAGCTGGGTCTTCTCTCAGAGCCTGTCCCTCCCTCGGTGTCCCAGCGAGGCTGGCCCTGTGCAGGCCCAGGAGTGGAGGGGGCTCCTGCAGTCTTACCCCATCCTGGGCCCTTGCAGAGAGCGCCCACTTAGCTCAGCTGTGCTGCAGCCTTGGGAAAGGCCCAAGGAGCAGGAGCCTCATGTTTCCCTCTCCTCAGGGCTCCTCCCCTCCGCTGCGGGTTTTTTTTTGGAGATAAGACAGGCATGTTTCCTAATACCAAGGACTCATGCAAATGATGACTATTCCAGGCTCTGTAGCAAAATGGCAGCATCCTGACAGTGACTGCAGGGTGGGTGGGGGTGGTGGGGGTGAGGTGGGCAGGTGGGGTCTGAGAGCCTTCTGGCCACACCGTGGCATGGGCAGCTCTCCTTGCATTGGAGCTCAGTGTGGGCGGTGAGCACCAGCACACACTGTGGTCAAAAGAGTGTTTGTTAAACATCTGCCCAGGAGTGCTCAGAGGCACCAATAGCCAAGGCAGACACTAGCTTATTGTCTCTGGAACCTGCTACCTGGTGGGACAGAAGGGGAATCCTTGAGCTCATTTCATTACAGTGGGCATCAGGCTGAGAGAGGCATTGGCCCTGTTGTTGATGGCTCAGGATATGCAGGTCATCTCCTTTGCCCTCTGCCAGGCTGGGGAACAGTGGACGTCACCCACACACATCATAGTCTCATCCAGGG